CTAAAATAAAATACTTGGAATCTTCGTTTATATAGTTCAAGTGGAGTATGTTCTTTGACGCAGGCCCAGTATAGGCCCCCTTTGGGACTACCCATCTAAGGGTACCTACAACTGAGGAGTATGGAAGTTCTGATCGGTCACCCCGTGTTACATTTGAATTCAGACTGTACAGTTCTGGTTTTTAATGGGTGGAAGAAGGAGGAGGCATACTTGTGTGTGTATGTATGGGAAATACCTGATCATATGGACATTCCTTTATTTCTAGAGTTGGGCGTCTGGCTGGGAACATGTAAATTACTAAGATGGTGGAGTTTCAACATAATTCAGATGTTTGGTACCCCATTGTCAAAAGGAAAGATCCATAAGCTGCACATCAAAGGCAGACCCATGTACATGAGGTGAGATGAATAGCAGCCTCAGCCCAGACTCTAGCCAGGCCATGCCCAATGCATTTCAGATCCAGTAATTACTCTCCCCCTTCCTGTTGTGCAGATCAGCCCCCCTGCCGACATTCAATTCACCAGCTGCCTGCGTCCCCCTGCTGCCCTGGGCCCCATACATGAAGACTGGAGATATGTACTTAGCTACAGACCTGTACACATTGATTAGATGGATAAAGGGATTGGGAGAGTGGCTTGACATTCTCCCAATGGGGAGTTTACCAGAGTCTTCCATGCTCTGAGCGAGGTTTGAATAGTTGAGGGAAGGTGAGAAATATTTCCAACGTAGGTCCAACATAATTCAGATGTTTGGTAGCCCATTGTCAAAAGGAAAGAGCCATAAGCCACACCTCAAAGGCAGACCCATGTCCATGAGGTGAGATGAATGGCAGCCTCAGCCCGGACTCTAGTCAGGCCACACACCAATGTGTTTCAGTTCACCCCTTGGAGCTTAGTCAAGATTAAGCTTCCAGAGGCTAAGTGAAATGTATTGGGCCAACGCCTGGCTCTAGTTCAGGCTGAGACAGCCATTCATCTCACCACATGCACATGGGTCTGCCTTTGATGTGCAGCTTATGGATTATTCCTTCTGACTCTGCTGCAGCTTGGAGCTAAGACAAGCTCCCTATCCCAGCCAGCAGTCTAGTTTGGACTTCACCTCCCTACCTGAGCAGCACCTAATTTTGTCTTTTTGGTACCCCATCTAATTCCTGTTGAAAGAGAACGATAGGAAGGACCCCTAGCCCACATGACCATTGATGGTGGTGAATTAGGGTCCTGCTACCACAGGGAACATTGCTGGATTGGAGAGAAAGGTATAGTGCTGGATGAGTTGTAGTAAAGAAGATGAGGGCATGGATTTAAGGACAACTACAATAAAGTGAAGTTGTCCTTTAAGGTTGTTTTTGATAGTTTTCCTAAAGGGATCTCATCAGAGTAATTAAATGTAAATAAAAGTACCCTGCAATAAAAATAGGTATTCTACTTACCTCTATGACAGCTGGTGTCTCCTACCTTCCTTCTGTTAAAGCACTGCTGTCTACATAAGACTCTTCTGCATGAAACACATTTGGAAGTATGCTGTGGTTCCTTCCTCCAACCCTTTCATCACTATGGGACTCATCAAGAGGAAGAAGGAACCATGGTGCACAGCAGGGAACATGGGCTTCCAACACTACTGAAGTGCTACATGCCAAAGAGACTGCCAGAGGCTGCTGCGCTGGACAAGAAGGGAGGAATCAAAAACAGGCAATGCCTCTTCTCTAGGAGGTCAGTTTTTTAGATTTTTATGACTTTGACAAACTGCTTTAAGAATGCTGGGGGCTTTACTTTCAATAGACTTTTATGAAGTTTTCAATAAACACACTGAACAGCTCATTCCAGCAGAGGCCAACTGTTTAGGTCCCGAAGGTCTTTTCTCATAGTTGCACCCACAGCCAGGCACAGTCACTCCTTTGGCTCAAAGAACAGTCTAGGGGTACAGTCTAGGAATATGTTTTTCTGATGCTTTTTTGCAGAACTTGAACAGGGATAGGAGTAGGGTAACTATGGGATACTTCACCAACTTTAAGCAGCAATTTGCATTATCTTCCTCCCAAAAATATGAACACAGTCCTTGCTTGCAACAAATATTTGACTGAGCTATACCAGGCCAACATCAATATTGTCCCCCTTGAGCAATGCAGACTCTAGCACAAGAGTAGTAGAACACAGTCTCAGAGATCTCTTACCCCAGTTTGTACTCACAGACCCAAACCCTCACAGACAGCCTGCCAGTCATCTTCAATGGATTTCAGCAGAATAGGCCTCCAGCTAGCCTACCTGGGACCTTGATGGGCAGCAGACACATGGCAGGCTGCCCAGAAGTGCAGCTGCCCTCCAGGCTGTGATTTCCTCCTCTAGGACAAAAACCCCTCTGCACCAAATCTCAGAATATTTATTCTCCCTCCCAGCCACCACCTGGGCACCTCTCTCCAAGGATTGGACAGGGCTGCAAAAATAATTAGCTGCAGATTTGGCTCTCCCAGCCCACCATATTCCAGAACCCTCCCGACAGGCAGAGGGAAGCAGTCAATCCTGCAGCCAGTGAAACAGAACGGACCAAAATAATTAGCTCCACTGATTACACAGAGCTAGTAACTAAAGTTTACCTAACCTGACACCTACAGTATCTAGGAGGTGCTACAATACAAACAAGGAAGTTTTCAATACATATACAACAAGGAATTCCCAATATTGATCCAGCAGTAAAGATAGTAATTATGAGTAATAACCAGGTTTCACAACCAGTAATGTAGATTCATAGGTCCCCACAAAATCAGGTCCAGGGAAAAGAAAACCAACAGAATGTAAACAAAAAGAAGTAAACAGCTCTAAAGAGAAGAGCCTTTAAATGGGTCAGGGTCAGATATCAAAGGGACTAGCATATACCAATCTTAATCACTAATAATGACTTATCCTCATCACTGGGTCATCAACAATGTATTGAAGTGCTAGATCCACGTCTAGAAGAGTACCAACTCACCCATGGATGCAATTGTTTGGCAGCAGCCACATAAGTCCCCCTGCTGGAAGCCCACATTGGTTCGTAGGAGCAATGTACATGAACCAGTTCAAAGGTATGGAGAATACTAGGAGACATATTTGTCTTCCAATTGCTCATAATCATCAGTCTTGCTGTCATAAGGATATGTATTACTAATGTATGAAACAAATATGGAATTGCATCAATGCCAAGCTTCAGTAGCTTCATCACAGAAGATAATGTTATCTCAAACAATGTTGCTTCCATGAGAGTGCAAAACATTTGCCTCCAAAAGCTAGTTATCCCCTTGCAGGTCCAAAAAATGTGGTGTGTATTGCCTATTTGATTACATCCTCTCCAATACCCTGGAGAGAAATTAACATTTAAATTTGAAAGTACAAAATGCTTTCAAACACCATCAAAGTAGGATTTTTGGAAAGAACTCCCAACTCTAAATTCAGCAGACCATTGTGATAGGATATGATGGTCATTAAACTCTCTCTCATTGTTCCATAACTCGAGTTTTAACCTTTAACCATATCCAATTTTACTTGACGTAAGTTATTAAATAAATACCTTTCATGCTAAGGTGGCCAGAATGATAGTATTGCCAAGACCTTCTATGTAGTCTGAATTCAGTATCTATGATATTCTGTGTTGTACAGTTAAAACTTTTTCTGAAGACAGAGTTGTGAATGTTTTGAAATCACCCTGGTCATAGAGATCGTTAATATGGTAAATGACTTTATCATTCCGAGGTTGAATTGAAAGATCTGGTATACACATTCAGAGCTGCTGTTAGAAACCACGGGGCCCCATAAACCCAACCTGACAGCCCCCCCCCCCCCAAAATAAAAAAAAAAACACAGTTTACTATGCTCCTGTTATGAATGAACACAGTAAGTGATTGGTAACCATCACTGTGTTCATTCAGGAAAAGAAGGGGCTGGTAAATGTAACCTATTTACCAGACCCGTCCCTCATTCACCATCCTGAAGGATCCTATTGTGGGCTTGTGGCTGCTGGTGGGAAGGAGATGAGAGAAGCCAACAGCACCACGGGGGTGGAGGCACAGAGGAGGGTCTGGCCAGCAAGTAATGCTAATATATATAAAGCTTGGTATGCGGCTGAATCCTAGTTTTTATCTCCTGACACTTGGAGCTCAAGCATTGGGACAGCTCACACACCCTCCATTCCCTCCTCTTCCCATTACAAGAAGTAGGACCAAGGCTCTTTTGGTTGTACATCTCCTGTGGGTCACAGGAGTGCACTTAGTTCTGTACTCTGTGACCCATTTTCAGCTGACAGTGGACTAAAACTTCAGTAAGCAGAGAGCCAGGCTAACAGTCCCCGGCTCTCTGCTTGCTGAAGACCAAGAACTGAGCGTTCAATGGCCTTTGATCATTCAGTTCTCCATGTAGAGGCAGCGGGGGACTGGTTACAAAAAGCTCTTTTCAACCATTTGGGGGACTTTGTTCTTATGCCCATTTTTAGTTGGATACAAATTGACGAACCCTAATCCTTTGCTTATAATCAAGACCATGTGATTTCAACATTAGTGGTGAAAATGCTGATGTTTTAATTATATACAATTCAGACACTTTTGCTCATACACCTCCTCCGACGAAGGTACTCATTGCTTCACTATGCATGGCATCCAGATGAAATTTGAAAGTAGCTGGTGCCAGACAGGTAAAGAGTTGACTGATGATTAAATTAAAGGAACATTTAGAAATGTTTACGTTTTCAGGAATATGTGTGTCAGAGGAGAGTCATACAATTCTGGAATTCAAGCAGTTGTTATTGGACACATAGTGATACACATACTGTAGGTATAAAGTATACAATGCAACATCTGTGAACTGCTTCCTCATCAATAACCACAGAGAGATAGAAAAAGATTGTGCAGAATACAGAGCAATTTATGGCAGACATGATCTGTTATTAACGAAAATTGGATATTTATTAATTGCACATCTACGGATATAAACCCCAGAGGAGCTACGATTTCATGATTTGCTCTGGTGTCTGTAGATCTATCTTGGGCACATAGCATGGCGGCCCCCATCCACAGGCATTGTCACTCCAGTTATAAAGGATGCTGCATCTGATGCCAGGAAAGCGATTGTCCGGGCCACTTCCTCCACTCTGCCAGGGCGCCCCAGGGCGTGTGTTTCCTGTGTGTGCTTCAGGAACTGGAATAAGAGAGAAGGAGCTGAAAGATCAATGCCAAGACAAAAGAAGGGAAGGTCCTGAAAAATCAAGGCCAAATCACAAGGAGAGAAAGACCTGAGAGATCAATGCCCAGACACGTTGGGAGAAGAAGATGCCAAGACACGTTGGGAGAAGAAGATGCCAAGACACGTTGGGAGAAGCAACTGAGAAATCAATGCCAAGACACAAGGGAAGAAGAAGCTGAGAGATCAATGCTAAGACATAAGGGGAAAAAGGAGAGAAGGAGCTGAGGGGTCAAAACCAAAAACACAAGAAAAGAAAGAACTGAAAAATCAAAGCCAAGACTTGAGAGAGCTGGAAAATCAAACACAATGCCAAGGTACACATCAAAAAGAACTGAGAGATCACTGCCAAGACATGGAGGGGAGGAGCAGCTAAGACATCAGTGCCAAGATGTGACGGGACTCACTTTGGGTGAGGGGCCCATGGAACCCAGCTCACTGGGTCTCAGCTCCCCATATCCCTCTTATGTGTAAGTCACCCTGTGCCTGTTAGGGGTACAGGGTGATCTGTCCTAATAATGGAGTGAGGGGTTGTTGATTGTTTAATGCCATGTGGTTGCATCCCATTGTTCTATTGTCTGTCTGGCTTGGGAGCAAACTATTATGGGATGTATGTATTTATGTGTATTAGTATGGGGGGGGGGGTGTCTCCAGCAGCCCTCCCTCATGATGGGACTGTCTGCTGGTGTGAAGTTGAAATACCTCTGTGTCTCTTGTTACTAAATGTAGATTGACTCGCCCTGTGTCATTATACAGGGAGGGGGGACTGTCCCCTGAGTGTATATATGTTGTATCTGTGTTCAAAGAAACTAGTCTACCTCCTGGTTTACTTCAAGACTGGTGTCTAGTCTTGTATGGTCGTCTGTGGTTTCTGTTTTCGGTGTTCGGACGGGGAAGCGGTATTCTAACGGAAGTACTCAAGCACAGTCTGGGTCGGTTCCGTTACATAAGAGATGGGGAGAGAAGGAGCTGTTAGATCAATGGTAGGACACGAGAAGGGAAGAAGTTGAGAGATCAATTACATTATACAAGGAGAGAAGGAGCTGAGAGATGAGGGATAAGACACAGACAGAAGTAGCTGAGAGGTCAGAGCCAAGACATGAGGAGAAAAGTAGCTGAGAAATCAAAGCCAAGACACGTTTTGGATGGAGTAGGGAATTCAGTCAGAGAAAGTTAACAGGTTTTTATTGCGATTTATCCTGGTGACTATTATCATTCGGATAGATAGTGATGGTTAATTCGAGTTTTCACCAGAACAGGAATAGAGGAAATCTTCCAATAGGGACATCAGCTGCAATACATACATGAGAGTTGTTTTATATGTCAAGAGAGTACTTCTGTCCATCCAGTCTTGTGAATTACAAAGCTATACTTACAGATCTTGTCCCTCCCCCACCTCAGCCATTGAAAGGCAGAGAATCAGAAGACTGATTAGCTCATCTCACTGCCATGTCCCTTCTCAGGCCATGAGCACTGCAGCACAAATGACTGACTCCCTATGCTGCAAGAGGCTAATACCAGGTCAAATGTAGACAGTAAAGAAAGTCAAGTTTTGATCCATCTATGGTCAGGCTGGAAGTAATGAAGTTGGGCATTTCTTTTTGTCCAATCACTATTGGTGGCTATACCAACCTCCGGCAGAACACAATAGCACTGCGGGGGGGGATTATCCATCAACGCTAACTGTGCTGATGGGGGAATCAAGCAATTTTCTTTCCAACCCATAGTTCAAAGAAAGAAAAATGGTTAATATATGGCTTGCTATGTAATTATAAAAATACATTTAGTGATGTATAAATGATTACAGAGTAGCATGAATTTGTGTGTCGCTTATCCCTCTCTGGAGTTCAGCCTAAGCAGTCCATAGATTATTCTTCCTTCCACCACAATTGCTCTTTTCCCCATCAACAGTCAGTGTAAATGGGGGTAATCCCTCTTGCAGCAGTATTGTGTTTTGCAAACAGGGAGCCTTCCCTGCTGGTAGAACACAATGATCACTGCTGGTGTCTGCAAGCAGCCATATCATGAAAAAAAAACTGGACAGGCTGGTTGTACTGAATTCAATCCATGGATCAACTTCAGGACAACCAGCCTGTTCACAGATGCATCTTGACAGGTCCCTGCTGAACCAGCAGAGTTTTGATCCATGTATCTCTGACTTTAGTTTCTTTAAACAACGGATTTGGCCTATGGAAGATCTGCCATTTCAGGTCTTATCAGCGTTGATTATCCACTTTCTAGCTTTTCTTTTTATCTTTTTTTCACTACAATCAGCAGTGACCGTGTCCATCCTATTTTTCTATTACTGTGACCTTCATGTTTGTTTCAGGTCATAAACAATCTGAAAATCTGGGTCCTGTTCTTAATGCCCATTCCCACATTCCTACTCTCACAGGTTTCCTTTAAATTTAGCATCCAGTCAAAAAGAATGGGGCTAAATAAGATTTGTTATTAAATGCTGGGGCCATGTTCAGTATCATGGTGAAGTAAAGGCTCCCCATGGGGTTCAATACTCTTAGTAAGACATTGAGCCTTGGGGTCTTGTCTCTATCTGCATCCCATAACATCCAGTCATGGAGGGGTGGTACAGCCACCATAGTGTGTTCCACATGATAGGACAAAAATTAAAGGTTTCTGAATTATCATATGGAGGGAAACCTCCTCCAACTACTTACCTCCTGGTACTGCTCTTCACTCATTCCGGCCCGCTTGTGAACTTCAGTTACAATTACCCCCGGGCTGGAAGAGAAGCAGAGACATTGTCAGCTGGAGCACCAAGAGAAGAATTATCCAGGAGCTCTCACAATCACTTCCGTTTATGGCCGGCCTGCCAATACATGGTGTCCCAAGCAAAGTGCTAGTCAACACAAAGCAAATCTTGCGCACCATTTGAAAAAAAAATTGATTTAATTGGTTTTAAAAAATTACATACTGTATAATAAAGATATTTTTCATGGAATGCATCCTCTTTTGGACACTTTCATTCTGAGCTGATGCCGTGGATCAGTCTCCTAAAAGTGATACTAAATATTTGTTTTTCTAAATAGCAGCCATGTTATACTTACCTGTTCTGTGTAATGGTTTTGCATAAAGCAGCTCCAATCGTCCTTGTCGGGTTCCTCGTCAACAGTGGTGTATTTAGCTCGTGTGCTGCCCTAAACAACAGAAAACTGGGCGCCCGCCACCACCACCACACCCCCCCGGCCCCCGCCCCCATCACTAAAATCTGCAAACAACCTCTGAGGACGCCCAGTGGGAGGGGCAAAACATGTCAGGTACGGACCATGGTGACGTCATTTACGGCCATTGGAGCGCACGCCGGTGCTTTTTACTTGTGAATACTTTATAAAGAATGAATATTGTAAGTACAATATATATTTTATATTTTGGGTTTTAATAAACGGCATTACACTATGTGGCCTTTCTTCTCCATTCCTCATGTAGGATTATTCAACTGCCACAGCTGATGGATTGAAAGCGGCCAGTGCAGCCGCATAGGCGGACTATAAGTCACAGCAGAGCCATATATTCTCCTGTACCGAAGAGTAGACTCTTATTTAATGATGACAGTCCACAGGAGTCGGTGAGACCATTGGTGGGGAGCACAGCGTGCGGAATGCAGGAAGAACACTAACATCACGTTTGTTGGTTAATGTAAGGAGAGCACATGGGGCAGCGCTCATATATTATATACTGATTGAGATATATATATATATATATACAGTGGGGATCGAAAGTTTGGGCACCCCAGCTAAAAATTTGTATTAATGTGCATAAAGAAGCCAAGGAAAGATGGAAAAATCTCCAAAAGGCATCAAATCACAGATTAGACATTCTTATAACATGTCAACAAAAGTTAGATTTTATTTCCATCATTTACACTTTCAAAATAACAGAAAACAAAAAAATGGCGTCTGCAAAAGTTTGGGCCCCCTGCAGAATTTATAGCATGCACTGCCCCCTTTGCAAAGCTGAGACCTGCCAGTGTCATGGATTGTTCTCAATCATCGTCTGGGAAGACCAGGTGATGTCAATCTCAAAGGTTTTAAATGCCCCGACTCATCTGACCTTGCCCCAACAATCAGCACCATGGCTTCTTCTAAGCAGCTGTCTAGAAAACTGAAACTGAAAATAGTTGACGCTCACAAAGCTGGAGAAGGCTATAAGAAGATAGCAAAGCGTTTTCAGATGTCAATATCCTCTGTTCGGAATGTAATTAAGAAATGGCAGTCATCAGGAACAGTGGAAGTTAAAGCAAGATCTGGAAGACCAAGAAAAATATCAGACAGAACAGCTCGCAGGATTGTGAGAAAAACAATTCAAAACCCACGTTTGACTGCACGATCCCTCCAGAAACATCTGGCAGACACTGGAGTTGTGGTACACTATTCCACTATAAAGAGATACTTGTACAAATATGGTCTTCATGGAAGAGTCATCAGAAGAAAACCTCTTCTACGACCTCACCACAAAAATCATCGTTTGAACCTTGCAAATGAACATATAGACAAGCCTGATGCATTTTGGAAACAAGTTCTGTGAACCGATGAGGTTAAAATTGAACATTTTGGCCAGAATGAGCAAAGGTACATTTGGAGAAGAAGGGGCACAGAATTTAATGAAAAGAACCTCTGTCCAACTGTTAAGCATGGGGTTGGATCAATCATGCTTTGGGGTTGTGTTGCAGCCAGTGGCACAGGGAACATCTCACGAGTAGAAGGAAAATGGATTCAATACAATTTCAGCAAATTTTGGATGGTAACTTGATGCCATCTGTGAAAAAGCTGAAGTTAAAGAGAGGATGGCTTCTACAAATGGATAATGATCCTAAACACACACCTGGAAATCCACGGGGGATTACATCAAGAGGCGTAAACTGAAGGTTTTGCCACGGCCTTCACAATCTCCTGACCTCAACATCATTGAAAATCTATGGATAGACCTTAAAAGAGCCGTGCGTGACAGACAGCCCAGAAATCTCAAAGAACTGGAAGACGTTTGTAAGGAAGAATGGGCAAAAGATACCTCAAACAAGAATTGAAAGACTCTTGGCTGGCTACAAAAAGTGTTTACAAGCTGTGATACTTGCCAAAGGGGGCAGTACAAGATATTAACTCTGCAGGGGGCCCAAACTTTTGCAGACGCCATTTTTTTTGTTTTTTTCTGTTATTTTGAAAGTTTAAATGATGGAAATAAAATCTAACTTTTGCTGACATATTATAAGAATGTCTAATCTGTAATTTGATGCCTTTTGGAGACTTTTCCATCTTTCCTTGGCTTCTTTATGCACATTAATACAAATTTTTAGCTGGGGTGCCCAAACTTTTGATCCCTACTGTGTATATATATATATATATGTGTGTGTGTGTACTGTCTCCCATTATAATGTACAGCGCTGAGCAAACTGGCGCTATATAAATCCCGTACAATAATAATAAAAATATATATATATTTATGATTATCATACAGCTTGGCACCAATGCGTGTGGAAGCATGCGTTGATGCGCGATGGCACACAGAGATGCGCCTACAAGTCAGTGCATGCTGGATATTAGCCTGAGCTCGTCTGTGTGCCGATACATGTGCACGAGTGTTAGCCGCCCGGGAACGAGTGTTAGCTGTAGTATCAGCACGAACATTAGCTGTGCTAGTATTAGTCCTCTGACAGCTACTATGTTCTGTGTTGAAGATTTAGTATCAGTCCAGGTTGTGCTCCAATCAGGGGCAGACTGACCATTTGGAAACTTGGGCACTGCCCGAGGGCCCGGGGTCAGTAGGGGGCCCCATGAGATGCCCCTGGTACCTTTTTCATAGGCTTTTTTGAGTTTGAGCAAGGACACAGGGGCCCCATGATCCCCTATTGCCCGGGGGGCCCCATGAGTTGTCAGTCCGCCCCTGGCTCCAATCATCAGGTGTCCGTAGCTCCAAGGTCAAATTCCCACTTACTCCCATAAGCTAGGGGAACGCCACCAGGGTAGTCTACCATCTGTTAGTACAATTTAGATATAAAGAAATCAAACAAAAAACTTAAAAATACCTGCGCTACCGTGACAACTCATATACAATCAAAAACTCATACTGTAAAAAAAAAATATATATGAAAAAATCATTACTATACATGATGCTGCTGTTCATAAAGTGAAAATACCTTAAATATGATAAATGATCAATAGTACAGCGCAAACAATAATTATAAATGTGAAAAGATCAAAAAGTCCCAAACAAACAGTGCTTCAGTGAAAACATTCTGTTCTATCCAAACCGGAAGTGTTCTGTAAATGGTGTCACCCCCCCAGTGCTCAGTGATTTATCACAATCGCACATTCTGTAGATTTGCAGCACTGCTATTTGTTACTTATCACAGAATATCAATCTCAAGGTTTGCGCTACACTACTTATTTAAAACCATCAACACTCCCGATTCCTTGAAAACATGAGTTCCAGCATTGGGACTTCCGAACACAGCCGGCATTTATAGAATAGGAGATCAGAGCCTGCACAGGCATCTAGAATTTGCAGATCTCTCTGTCAAACTGACAAATTGTAATCGGTAAAAAAAAAAAACTCCACAGGAAATTTATTTTTTTTTAGTTTGCTGTTTTAGCAGTTAGTCCTCATGCACACTAGACATTTTTACAGCGGCTGTTTTTGTCTTTTGACATTTTTTTTCTACAGCCAGTAAACCCCCCAGCCAGGGGTGGACTGATCATTTGGAAACTCGGGCCCGGGGTCAGTAGGGGGCCCCATGAGATGCCCCTGGTACCTTTTTCATAGGCTTTTTTGAGTTTGGGCAAGGACACAGGGGCCCCATGATCCCCTATTGCCCGGGGGGTCCCATGAGTTGCCAGTCTGCGCCTGCCCCTAGTATGTTCTCCTATGTATATTCTCTGTAAGGGATTTCTTTGAAAAAATGTATCCACTATGTTGCACCTGATGCAAAAAAATTACCACCCAAATAAAAAATATTAATAAAAGTTTGTGAAAACTTATTGCTGCCGCTATACCTTGCTTTAAAAGCCGCACTTCTTCAAATTTAATTGTCTGACATATTTATGTATATCTACATATACACAAAATGTGTCTATTGGTTTCTTAGGAGCACATTTCAAACCTAAATTTAAAATGTTTAACTCTTTGGAGGACAAAGTGGCTTTGCTAATATTATAAATTCCTTGGTTATTTAATCTCTCTTTTTTTTGTTGTTTAACTATTCTACCGGCTCTACAGCCTCGACGGACTCTTGTACCCTTACAGGACCTCCTCTTGCTCTGTTCGGTGGGCGAAAGGGCCGACCTTTTTGGCCCCCTCTAAAATATGATAATGTGATGTTATGTGCTTTGCCCTCTTTTGAGTAAAGTATGCAGCCTACGAGTTGCCAGTAACGTACATCACTTCCTGTGAGATGGAGGCGAACTAATTAGGCATAATTATTCCAATTATTGGTTCCTGATATAAGCGGTAAGCCGCACCGTCACCCCTATGAGCAAGTCAGGATATGACGAAACGCGTCAGGGCAAGACAGTGCGGTAGTCCGGAGGTGACGCAGATCTGTAACTGGAAGTGACGTGACGACGTTCTGTCCGACAGTTCAGGAGGTGGTGAGAGCACCATGCGGTATCTGCTGGTCACAAAGACACACTATTTGGGCATTACTTGGAGTAAATAAATCTACCTATCTTGGGTAATATACCATTTGAGCAAATTCTTTGTTCTTCTCTTTTCACGATATGGTGGAATGGAGTTTTGAATTATTCTGGTAATCAATCATTAAATGGGCTGTTCTTGAAAGAACGTCCTGGTCATATTAGTGGATATCCTCTTGAGTATGGTTTAACAAAGGCAATATCTGGTGAGTGCACAGCTGAGTGGGGGCGCACGGTGGGAACTGCACAAGGTTTTCTATACCTTAAAGTTATTTCATCACGGGACTTTTTTTTATAATATATATATATACATACATACATACATACATACATACATATATACATACACACACATACATACATATATATATACAGGGCTTTCTTTCTGCCGGATACGCGGCGGTACTGGTATGCGTTCCGCCACCTTTTTCTTCTTGTCCCCGCTCACCGACTGCCTCTGCAGAGCTGACAAGCTATGCAGAGCATGACATGCCGGACGCGGCTTGTTTATTGTCATGCTTGCGCGTGCCCGGCACCTGTCACTGCCGCTGCTCACAAGCCGGTGAGCGGGGACATGCACGCTTCACCCCCCCCCCTCTACCGCCAGCGTGTAAACATCGGGGGCGCGCGGCCACCCCCATAGGAAAGGTGTATCTTAGTACACCCGGCGGTGCGCGCTGACGTATCACGCCCTTGCTCGTCGATCCTACCATAGCGCGGATCGTCAGCATCAGGTAATAGCGGCGATACAATTTTTCTCGCTTTTCTTGCTAATGTGGGGGGGGGGCAGTGTTACTATCGCTATTCTTACTAATGTGGGGGGGGGGGCGGTGTTAATTCCATACATTTACTTTTATAGCCCCTCCCAAATTTTTACTTGCATATGTTCTCTAAAGGGGTGGTCCTATTTGATGGGGGCGTGGCCAGGTTTGGGTGGGGGATTCCACCACCTTTCCTCTGAGAAAAAAAAGCCCTGTATATATATATATATTTTATTTCCTATTTATTTTATATATAATTTTTATGTCACAAGACTTTTTTTTTTTTGAGATATCACATTATGTGTTTCATTTATTGATTTTATTTTTTTATTTTTTGTTATAGAGATAACGTTTAGGATATGTATTAATGAATGACATACAATGCATGGGTGGTGATTGGAGATTTATCAGTGATTCAATGACAACACTGAAGTGTATGCAGACTGTAATCAGCGTTTTTTTTGGCAGGGGCGTTTTCTGGCTGGAAAAAAAAAAAAAAAAAAAAACAGGACTAGTGGGTTTCTAGAGACGTTTTTTAGCTGTAAAAAAAACTCTAATGCTGAAAAACACGGCAAATTGCTGAAAACTAGCATTTTAGGACTTTGACAAACAAAACACTTTTTTGTAAAAAAAAAAAAAAACTCTAAAAATGCTAAAAACTCAAAACATGAAAAAATGTAGCAAAACACCACTAAACGCTAATACAAAAATGCTAAAAAACTCAAAACATGAAAAAATGTGGCTAAACACTAATACAAAAATGCTAAAAACTCAAAATGTTAAAAAATGCGGCAAAACACTGCTAAACGCAAATACAATAATGCTAAAAAACTCACGTTTTTAATGCGACTTTACACAGCTAACGTTCCCAGCGTTATTAGTATGCCCCGTGTGCACGGAGCCTTAAAGTGGTTGCAAATTCTAGTAACAATACATGTTAAAATTTCAGGCATTCATGCTTTCTCTTTATACAAATTTCTAATCTGTAAGCAGGGGCGGACTGACCATTGGGGAACTCGGGCACTGCCCGAGGGCTTGGGGTCAGTAGGGGGCCCCATGAGATGTCCCTGGTACCTTTCGTAGGCTTTTTTGGGTGTGGTTTGAGTGTGGGCGAGGACACAGGCCCCATGATCCCCTATTGCCGGGGGCCCCATAAGTTGTCAGTCCGCCCGTCTGTAAGTTAGAGTCCCGAGGAATGGTATGGTTGTCACACATTGCCTTTACCAATAAGTCATTCATGGTGACTATTCAGCATGCAGTCACGTCTGTCACTGCTATCAATGGCCCTCCCCTTCACATACATGTGTTCAGGTACAGATCCTCAGATTGCCCAGGAGCACAGCATTCAGTACATGTCCTGGAACTCATCGTTCCTGGCTCCATCTCATGGCTCTGATGCCATGAAAGACACTTAGCAGACTTCATCAGATGCTTCCAGTGGCACATTACCACATTTGTGAGAACATCTGAAAGGACTTTTGATGGCAAAGTTGACATTTTAAACTGGATCTTAAAGCATTGGATGAAACCACTAACATTGCCATCCAAAGCTTTCACAAATGCATAGCAGAAGCACTCATTTGTATTTATCAATACGTTTGTTGTACTTAGTTTTTGGGGGTTGGGTCATAAAGAATTCCATGTGAATGCAAAGAAAAGCAAGTCAAAACATCTTTTCTGAAAGATCTTTTGTTTTTCTAGAAATCAACTGACAGCAATGGGCTTTCTTCCAAGTCTCACACCCATGTATCATAACCTTTAAAGTATAGTCATCCTTCAAGTTAAACTCTCTCCAGTCCTTGAGGAGCCAATGACTTCTGACCTACAGGACCTTTGTAAAGAAAACTGCCACTCCTAGCCTCAAGTTTTCACATATCTGTGGATATGGGTTCCGGCTAGGTGGGGACCATCCCCTCGCGTGTAAAAGCAAAGAGACGGGTTGCACTCTGATGAGGTCACCTACAATGAGCATTACTGTTCCAAACACAGAAGGTTCACCCAAAAGCAAGCCATTGTAGAGGCCCCTTGACCTCTATGACTAAACCCTGTTTGGGTGAAAGAAGGGGTTGGGTGGCCATTCTGTGTTCAGAACAATAAACTTCATTAAAGCTGATAGAAGTGTGGACAGTCTCTCACTTTGACCTCTGACCTACCACTGCCTGCCACCAGGTAACGTTCACAAGGCATGTAGGATGGGCAGAGGAGATGGAACATGTGTTGTTCTTGAAATGTGCCAAGTGTTTTTTTTTTGTAAGGAACCTCAATAAATGGTTTGGCCATGGCTATCATTGGCTGTGGTTTCTTCATGCATCATTAAAACATTAAAAAATGATGATTAAGAGAACCAATTCTAGCCAAGGCATTCAGAGAGGAAAAAAAATCCTCCCCCTTCTTCAGGGCTTCAGAAGCTGATGTTCCTAAAACAATGACTGAATGCACTATGGCCCTGTGTTAAGGCTTGATGAAGATGCATGATTGTGCCAGGAAGGTAGAGAGATGTATAGAAAAATGGAGGCAGAATGAAGCTGGGGATAAGATGGAAAAATGTGTTTTTGAAATTTCAAGGTCTGCTTGAAAAATGCTAAGTGTATGTGTTAGAAGGAACTTCAATAATGGTTTGACCATTTGTACAGCGCTGAGCAAACCCTTTGGCGCTATATAAACTCAATGTAATGTAATGTAATGTAATGACCATGGCCAACTCTGGCTATAGTCTTTTTATGGGTCGATAGAACATCCAACAACATAATAAGAATTTGTCAGGTTTTAGTAATTCTACTCACCAAACGGCATTGACTCGGACCTGCTTACTGGCCAACTCTAGAGTAAAAGGAAAACTAATAATAATTAGTTTAATAATAATAATAATAATAATAATAGAAGACTTCTATTAATTGTACATACACCCAAAATCTATTTTCCCTGTTTGGAATTATTACTATAATACAGGATTTATATAGTGCCAACAGTTTGCGCAGCGCTTTACAAAAATGAAGGTAGACATTGTTTCAATGCAATTTGGTACAAAAGGAATCAGAGGACCCGGCTCCTTAGAGCTTACAATCTAAGAGGGAGGGTCAAGTGATACAAAGGGTAATAGCTGTGGGGGATGAGCTGATGGAGAATGTAAAAACACAGTGCATTAGCTAGAATCAGAATAGGCTTCTTTAACCAGTTGCCGCCTGGCCTATAGCCAGATGGTGGCCAGGTGAACAGCTCACTCAACCGGGTGGACGCCATATGGCGTCCTTCCAGGCAAGCGCATTGCGCCTGCCCGCAGAGCCGCACAGCGGCACGATCTGTCACCGGCCATGTACCTCTGACACGGCCGATGACAGATCTGTGTACCAGGCCCCGTTGCCAGTACCATGTGACCTGCTGTGACCAATCACAGCAGATCACATGACAGTTGTATACAATGGATGGCTTCCTTTCATACCATCCATTGTATACTAGTGTGTCTAGCTGTGAATGGTCACAGCGATCACGTGAACAAGCTGGGCCAATCACAGCCCAGCTGTGTCATGTGATTAGCTATGGCCAAATCACAGCTAAGCACAAAAAAAAAAAAAAAGCACCCTGAATGAATCGATGTCATTCAGGTAAATGCTTGCTTATAGCAAAGAAATTCTTTGCTATAAGCAAATTGTGAAAAAAAAAAATACTGATCACTTCCCCAAAGTAGTACAATGTTACTATGGTAATAGTCCTAGTGAAATATGAAAAAAATATTAAAAAAATATATATAAAAAAATGTAATAAAAAATAAAAAAAAAAAGTATTTTTTTTTTCGTACTGTCACCAGTCAGTGTCCCTGATCACAGCCATGCCAGTTATATAATGACTCTGTACTGCACTGGTGACAGTATGTAAAAAAAAAAAAAAAAAAAAAATAGTGAAAATCATTTTTTAAATTTCTTCATTTCCAAAAAATGACAACTTCAAAAAAACTCTCTATGCCTGTTATGAAGTACGTCGGACTGTCTACTTTGCAAAAAGGGGTCATTTGGAGGATATCTGTACTGTTCTGACATTTGGGGGATATCTGTCCTCTCCTGACATTTGTGGGATATCTGTTCTCTCCTGACATTTGGGGGATCTGTACTGTCCTGACATTTGGGGGATATCTGTCCTCTCCTGACATTTGGGGGATATCTGTACTGTCCTGACATTTGGGGGATCTCTGTACTGTCCTGACATTTGGGGGATATCTGTACTGTCCTGACATTTGGGGGATATCTGTACTGTCCTGACATTTGGGGGATCTGTACTGTCCTGACATTTGGGGGATATCTGTCCTCTCCTGACATTTGGGGGATATCTGTACTGTCCTGACATTTGGGGGATATCTGTATCTGTACTGTCCTGACATTTGGGGGATCTGTACTGTCCTGACATTTGGGGGATATCTGTACTGTTCTGACATTTGGGGGATATCTGTCCTCTCCTGACATTTGTGGGATATCTGTACCGTCCTGAAATTTGGGGGATCTGTACTGTCCTGACATTTGGGGGATATCTGTACTGTCCTGACATTTGGGGGATATCTGTACTGTCCTGACATTTGGGGGATATCTGTACTGTCCTGACATTTGGGGGATATCTGTCCTCTCCTGACATTTGGGGGATATCTGTACTGTTCTGACATTTGGGGGATATCTGTCCTCTCCTGACATTTGGGGGATATCTGTCCTCTCCTGACATTTGGGGGATATCTGTACTGTCCTGACATTTGGGGGATATCTGTACTGTCCTGACATTTGGGGGATATCTGTCCTCTCCTGACATTTGGGGGATATCTGTACTGTCCTGACATTTGGGGGATATCTGTCTGTCCTGACATTTTGGGGGATATCTGTACTGTCCTGACATTTGGGGGATATCTGTACTGTCCTGACATTTGGGATATCTGTACTGTCCTGACATTTGGGGGATCTGTACTGTTCTGACATTTGGGGGATATCTGTCCTCTCCTGACATTTGTGGGATATCTGTACTGTCCTGACATTTGGGGGATCTGTACTGTCCTGACATTTGGGGGATATCTGTCCTCTCCTGACATTTGTGGGATATCTGTACTGTCCTGACATTTGGGGGATCTGTACTGTCCTGACATTTGGGGGATATCTGTCCTCTCCTGACATTTGGGGGATATCTGTCCTCTCCTGACATTTGGGGGATATCTCTCCTGACATTTGGGGGATATCTGTACTGTCCTGACATTTGGGGATATCTGTCCTGTCCTGACATTTGGGGGATATCTGTCCTGTTCTGACATTTGGGGATATCTGTACTGTCCTGACATTTGGGGGATATCTGTACTATTCTGACATTCTTGGACCTCAAGAAATTAGATTGGCAGTCAGTACGTCAGGATTGATCAATATTCAGATCTATACCATAGTTTGTGAACTCTATAACTTTCCTACAGACTAAATAATACATCCTAATTTGGGTTATTTTCACCAAAGACATGGAGCAGAATACATCTCGGCCTAAATGTATGAAGAACAATTATTTATTTGCAAACATTTATAACAGAAACAAAGAAAAACTTGTTTTTTTTTCAAAATTTTTGGTCTTCTTTTGTTAATTTAGCAAAAAATAAAAACCCCAGCAGTGATTAAACACCACCATAAGAAAGCTCTAGTTGTGTGAAGAAAATGATAAAATTTTAGTTTGGGTACAATGTTGTATGACCGCGCAATTGTCATTCAAAGTGTGAGAGCGCTGAAACCTGAAAACTGGCCTGGACAGGAAGGGGGTAAAAGTGCCCGGTATGGAAGTAGTTAAAGAGAAGGGTTATCAAGGATTGTCTAAAGGTGAATAGATTAGAAGATAGTCAGACAGATTGGGGTAGGTTAGGATAGGAGAAGCTCAGGAGAAGTCTTGGAGGTGAGCATGGGAGGAGGTGACATGGGAACTAAAGAGCAGGAGTTCTTGGGAGGATCGAAGAGAGTGGTTTGGTTAGTATTTTGAGACCAGGTTGGTGATGTAGCCGGGGGCAGAGTTGTGGAAGGCTTTGTAAGTTGTTAGTACTGTGAATTTTATTCATTGGGTGAGTGGAAGCCAGTGGAGGGATTGGCAGAGAGGGGTGGAGGACACTGAATGGAGTCCAGTGGAGGGATTGGCAGAGAGGGGTGGAGGACACTGAATGGACGTCAGTGGAGGGATTGGCAGAGAGGGGTGGAGGACACTGAATGGATGTCAGTGGAGGGATTGGCAGAGAGGGGTAGCAGACACTGAATGGAGGCCAGTGGAGGGATTGGCAGAGAGGGGTTGAGGACACTGAATGGAGTCCAGTGGAGGGATTGGCAGAGAGGGATGGAGGACACTGAATGGACGTCAGTGGAGGGATTGGCAGAGAGGGGTGGAGGACACTGAATGGACGTCAGTGGAGGGATTGGCAGAGAGGGGTGGAGGACACTGAATGGACGTCAGTGGAGGGATTGGCAGAGAGGGGTAGCAGACACTGAATGGAGGCCAGTGGAGGGATTGGCAGAGAGGGGTGGAGGACACTGAATGGACGTCAGTGGAGGGATTGGCAGAGAGGGGTAGAGGACACTGAATGGAGGTCAGTGGAGGGATTGGCAGAGAGGGGTGGAGGACACTGAGTGGAGGTCAGTGGAGGGATTGGCAGAGAGTGGTAGCAGATAAACAGTTGGCAAGGTGGAGAAGTCTAATAGCAGTATCCATGATTGGGATGGAGGGGGGGGGGGGATAGCCTAGGTAAAGGTAAGCCAATGAAGAGAGAGTTGCAGTAGTTGAGGCGAGAGATAACCAGGGAGTGAATTAGAAGCCTTGTAGTGTCATTAGTTAAGAGGGGGCGTATTCTGGAGAACTTGCAGAGGGTGAGGAGGCATAATTTGGACAGGGATTGGATGCGGGCCTGAAAGGACAGTTCAGAATCCAGGGTTACCCCTAACACCCTGCCAGCTGGGGATGGGTTGATGGTTGTGCCATTGATCTTGACCGAGAAATCAGGGGAGGGGACACGTGGGGGAGGAAATAATATGATCTCAGTTTTGGATAGATTAAGATCATGACGATTTTCTTAAGCTTTTTGTTCTAGTTAATGTTTTGAAGTTTGTTACCCAGAGATCCTTTCAGATACAGTGCGTTCCATTACAGTCTGAAAATGCTAAGCTGCTGCCTCTCAATTAGCAATAGTCTTGTCAGCCTGCTGTGCATGTTCTTTAGGTTGGTCGTTGGGCTGCCAGTGCTCAACTCATGCTTCCTCCAGACCGGACAGGCAGCCTAAAGGGCCAAAGTGAGGTGTGTCTGCACTGCAGGCCGACAACACTGCTGCTAATTGAGGGTACATGGGTTTGTGTTGTCAGCCTGCAGTTGGAAGTGCTGCAAATGGTAGGATCTCCAGGTACACAAATGTTACAATAGATAATAAAATATATATATTTTCTTAAGAAAATGATTGATGCACTGAAACAGATGTTTTGTTTACACTTCTCCATAAATTCCATTATGATTACAAGCGAGAGATAAACTCAGATATTCAGTGCCTTGAAAAAGTCTTCCTCCCCTTGAAATGTTCCCCATGTTGTCATGTTACAACCAAAAACGTCAATGTATTTTATTGGGATTTTATGTGATAGACCAACACAAAGTGACGCATACTTGGGAAGGGAAAGGAAAATAAGAAATGGTTTTCAAAATGTTTTAAAAATAAATCTGTGAAATGTGTGGTGTATATTTGTACAATTACTTTGATACCCCTAACTAAAATCTAGTGGAACCAATTGCCTTCAGAAGTCACCTAATTATTAAATAGAGTCCACCTGTGTGTCATGTGATCTCAGTATCTCAGTGTGCTTCTGGCGCTACTCAAGGCTGACCGCAAATCATAATCACCTTGCCGGCAGAGAGAAGAGGGAGCAGCGTACCAAGTAACTCCAGAGACTTGGCAATGTGTGTGAGGATGAACGCCACCCAGACCGATCCCCAGGAGTCAGAGAGGAACCGTGTGTAATGAGTGGCCTCTACCGTCACTCTGGCCATAGGGGGCTTGGTCACCGAGCCTTCATGCAAATTCACGCCACATTTTTCACATATTTATTTGTAAACAAATGTTGAAAACCATTTCTCATTTTCCTTCCACTTATGTGCCTCTTTGTGTTTGTCTATCACATAAAATCCCAACAAAATACATTGACGGTTTTGGTTGTAACATGACAACATGGGGGACATTTCAAGGGGTAAGAAGACTTTCAAGGCACTGTACAATGGTCCCCTCTCAGGCAAATGAACCGATGCTATAAACAGCTTGGTGGGCAGTTTACAGGCTGGTAAACAGAAAGGTTTATAGAACGTTTTTTATGGCCCTCCAAGGATGAGTATAGTCATGTGACAATCTCCATCAGACACCACAATCAGGAAACAAAATGTTCCTACAGGAGGGGGGAGTAGATAAGGAATGTGGGTAGACAATTAGAATGGAGAGAGTCCAACCTGCCCAAATGGCATCTCCCCGAGACAGTGGAGGGTCCAGGTCATTTGGATGAGAGTGGTCTTTGTCTATGGGTAAGGAGCACAGCCATGTGACAATCTTCATCAGGCATGACAATCAGAAAACAAAATGTTCCTACAAGAGGGGGGAGTAGATAAGGAGTGTGGGTAGACAATCAGGTTGGAGGGTCCAACCTGCCCAAATGGCATCTCCCCGAGACAGTGGGAGGTCATTTGGATAAGTTGGTCTTTGTCTAGGGGTAAGAATAATTTGGAACATCAGACAAATGTGTAAACATTCAGAGGAATATCAGCACTGACCATAACCAAGGTGACATTCTGTTCCCTGGAGACAATTTTCTGCATACCACAAACCTCGTGCCAAGTCATTTAAGTACACTTTTTTGAATGTTGCTGTTGCTAAGCCTTTTGTAGTCTAAAAAAACGGCAAATGAATGCAGAATATCTACAATCTGTATCTGAGGAATTTTCACACACAATCTGAGCATCAATAGCCACAAGCACTGCTCATTTTTCAGATTATTTCTCCTTCATCACGAAGCAATTGTTCGGTGTTTGATGATTGTAACCTACTCACCGAGAGCGACACATCTGGTCATGTGATCCACCGCTGACTTGGACACGCAGTAAGCCAGGACACCCGGGAACTGGAAAATAAACAGGAAGATTTGAAAAGGTGGCTTATCATTCTTCCCTTAATATGTACATTTTGTACTTCATCTCTCATAGGTGTGATCAGGGGCGGACTGACCATTTGGAAACTCGGGCACTGCCCAAGGGCCCAGGGTCAGTAGGGGGCCCCATGAGATGCCCCTGGTACCTTTTTCATAGACTTTTTTGAGTTTGGGCAAGGACACAGGGGCCCCATGATCCCATTTTGCCCGGGGGCCCCATGAGTGGTTTACGTGAAAGTTTTAGCAGCTGCAAATGGCGGGATAGATACTGGGATATTTTTTTCAACTAGTAATGGCGGTGATCAGGGACTTACAGCAGGACTGCGGTGGACATTCTGACACTGGGGGGGGAACTGACTTGGTGTCACGACATCCCCAGTGACCCCAATACAGTGATCAGTGCCCCCCCCCCCCCCCCGAAATAAATCAACTTGCCAGCTTAGTAGGGTTGCAGGTATACATGTGGCTTCCACACACTGTGGCATCTTGTGTTTTTTAGCATCTTTTCTTCTACTTTTGTGAGTATCTACTTGGCATTTATTAGATTTCATACAAAATAACTCTCTGGTAATGCACTAGGTATTTGCACTTTCCTGTTTTCCTTTTGTAGTTACCCTGAACAGTGCACTTCTGATAGCAAAGGCTGTCTTTGTGTGTATATATATATATATATATATATATATATATATATACACATATATATTTGAATATCTGCATGACAGTCTGTGTGGTCTGTGTAAAATGAGACAATGTAGCCACCCGGGGCATTCACTGGTTCATACACTGATGATGATTGGGCAAATCAGTAAGATTTCCCCAATTTGCACATCACTACCAATCATTATTTTGTGTCGGAGTGCACAGGACCCTATATTGTATACAGCCAAAATTGTAGTATTTCATATATATGTCAATATATTTGGGAAGAATATTTTTTAAATATATTTCAAATATATTTTTCTTCCCTGTAGCTAGACTGGCCTGCACAACTGCTTCTCTTCCATGCAATGGTCTACAGTCCCGACGTCATCAAGACCATCAAGGCCAGGGGCCATAGCCCTACACAGGAGTGATGACGCATAGGGACAGTCCACTGCTAGAGTATGAAGGAGCACAGTCTGTCAGGGGAGCAGAGTATTTGGTGATTAAATGGTTTATCCTCACCCTTAGACAAAAAGAGTGATTAAACCTTGCAGAGCCGGCACAGCCCCACTGCAAGGAGTCATTTTAAAGTTCCCTGAAGCTGGGCTTTCATACTAGGCACACCACCACCCACCTTATGACACCACCCTGGTCTGCCAATAGATCGCATCATGCTGTGGTATGGGGGCAGGGGTGTAAATCTTCACTACCATGGGGGACGGAGCCTGCAATAGAAGGTATGTGGCCACAAGGTATGACGTGAGTGATGTTCTACAGTTCTCAACTCATTTGTTTTTTAAACAATACTTGTTTTACTGTAATAAATAAAGAGGTGTCAACCATGGGAGCCATGTGATGAAGCTGGTGTGTGTGAAAAAAGAAGAAATGGACTAAAATGAGAAATGTTTTGGAAGGTAAAATATAAAAAGCCGCACAATAGAAGAAATGTTCTTTGGTATGCGGCATCTCACACAGGAGACAAAAAAGGAACATTCTAATGTATGATTTATACAGGGGCAAGAAAACCCTCACCGATCTCTGGCCTGTGACGCTGGATACGTTGACGATGTTTCCTTTAGTCTTGATGAGATGAGGCACCGCCAGTTGCGACAGATAGAAAAGAGACCTGGAAAAGTACGGAGATGAGGGGTTATTTTATATTATAATCATTTTATGTTGGGTATAACCTACAAGGATACAAAAAATGAGTAGAGCATAATAAACCCAATCAGATGGTCTAAGGAAATAATAAATACCTGGAGATGAATACACTTTATACCCCTACAGATTAGAAAACTGTAAATGTAAAGTAAATAATATTCTGGAATAGAAAGGGTTAAAGCAACAACCTCTGTTAGGATGTGACTGTGTATGACGACATCTAGTGGTGACATGAGGTAATGACAGAAAATACTGCTGGGACCTTTTTGGATACATTACCCACAAACTGCTAATCAGAAATAATTCTGGAACCAGTGTGGATTCTGGTGGAAACTGAGCTCAGCACGTGAATGTGTAACCTCTTGGTGGTCCTGACCTAGTGCTCTTAATGGAATGCGAAATTCACAACACATTACATTATGCCAGAAAGTCTTTTTCTGCGTGGTTTTGGATTGTGTACTTAGTTATGTGGTCAGTCCTCCCAAGCATGATATGTTGCTTATAGGTGGAGCCTGGTGAGCGGAGTCACGCACAGAATTCCAACATCTCTCAGTGAGTTCAGTACTGAGCGCTTCCTGCCAGAGTTTCTGACTCTGTTCCGGCCCGCCTTGGGGTGTTCCCACTCGTGCTGCATTATCCAAAACATAAAATTAAAAAACTGAGCAGGGGTGGTGGGGACCCTTCATAATGGGACCAGCAGGTGTACAGACCCAGGCACTCAGTGCAGGGATGGCGGGAACCCTTCATAATGGGCACAGTAGGTGTGCAGACCCGGGAATTCAGTGCAGGGATGGTGGGAACCAGATGCGGACTGACCATTTGGAAACTCGGGCACTGCCCGAAGTCAGTAGGGGGCCCCATGAGATGCCCCTGGTACCTCATTTTTTTTAGTTTGGGCAAGGACACGGGCCCCATGATCCCCTATTGCTCGGGGGCCCCATGAGTTGTCAGTCCGCCCCTGGTGGGAACCCTTCATAATATGCACAGCAGGTGTACAGACCCAGGAACTCAGCACAGGGATTGTGGGAACCCTTCAGAATGGGCACAGCAGTTGTACAGACCCGTGAACTGAGCACAGAGATTGTGGGAACCCCTCATAATGGGCACAGCTGGTGTACAGACCCGGGAACTCAGCACAGGGATGATGAGAAACCCTCATAATTTATTTATTTCAGGTACTTATATAGCGCCGTCACTTTACATATATATTGTACAGTCACATCAGTCCCTAACCCTCAAGGGGCGTACAATCTAAGGTCCCTAACTCACATTCATACATACACATACTAGGGACAATTTAGACAGGAGCCAATTAACCTACCAGCATGTCTTTGGAGTGTGGGAGGAAACCGGAGTACCCGGAGGAAACCCACGCAGGCACAGGGAGAACATGCAAATTCCAGACAGGTGGTGCCGTGGCTGGGATGGGCACAGCTGGTGTACAGACCCAGGAACTCAGCACAGGGATGGTGGGAACCCCTCACAATGGGCAGAGCAGGTCTGTAGAACTGGGAATTCAGTGCAGGGATGGTAGGAACCCCTCAAATGACAGCAGTTATAAAGTCTATGGAACCCTCTGAAGTTCCTGTTGGATCTCTCAACCTCTTGGGGCTTCTCTCTGAGGGCTCCCTTTCCAATTTGTAGCCCGGAGTAGAATCCCTTTGGGCTCTTTCACCTTCTTGGGTTACACTCCACTCTTTTTCCCTCTGCAGACCTCCCTCTGAGGGGTCTCTCTAGGTTCTGTGGCCCTTGTAGGGTCTGTGTTGACTCTTATGCCATCTGAGGGGAACCCTCTCAAATATAGGGCCCTCCATGGGGCTCCATTTGGCTTTATACTGACCTCTGTGGGGCCAGCCTTTGGCTCCATGGCCTTCCATGGTTCCCATTTTATTGCTACACTCCTCTTAGGTTTTGCTCTACAGTTCTGGTGAATTAGTAAATATTTGAAACCACAGAAATATGTTATGTATCACACAGCACCCCTCCACCATACTGAGAGAGTTCTTCCCCTCACCGAACATTGGTGTTCATCACTCGGTCATAATCCTCTAGTGTGGTGTTCTCCACTGTCCCCATTGCCAGGATCCCCCCACTGTTCACCAGAACATCCAGCTGTCCAAAGTGGTTGACTGTCTCCTCTACAATCTGCTGGAGGACCTTCTCATCTGTCAGATCTCCGGGAACCAGGAGGGGCTGTGGGAAAAAAGAAAGTCTGATAACCAGATGATCAAGGGGGACACAGGAATCTGACCTTGTGAGCAGGGATGGACTGACCATTTGGAAACTCGGGCACTGCCCGAGGGCCCGGGGTCAGTAGGTGGCCCATGAGATGCCCCTGGTACCTTTTTCATAAGCTTTTTTGAGTTCGGGCAAGGACACAGGGGCCCCATGATCCCCTATTGCCCGGGGGCCCCATGAGTTGTCAGTCCGCCCCTGCTTGTGAGGGACACTAATGAATGACATAGGAGGAGTTAGGGGACACTAATCAATGTGACACCCAGAGGGAATAGATGAGGGGACAGTAATGAAGAACACATGCAGTAAATATGACATATCACGCCACCTTCAGGCCAGAGATCTCCTCGCAGCGTTGGGCCGTCTCCTGCAGCTTCTCCTGGTTTCTTCCATTTAGGGCCAATTGGGCCCCCAGGCCAGCAAAGAGGATGGCAGTTCCGGCTCCAATTCCAGAACTGGCTCCAGTCACCAGGCACACCTTCCCCTGCAGGGACACCACCTGAGGATGGGAACAGAATGATGGGTTAACCTATCAGGAAATGCTGCAGACAATGTCATGTGTGAACATAATGGGGGGAGGGGAACAGATATTTCTATGCACAGCACACTTCCGGTACAGAGCGAGTCCCTGTTGCCTGAGCACACAGCTGGGGCCCTGACCTCAAGGACCCAGAGACAGTTGCCCCATACAATGTAGCAACCGTCCCCACTTCTGTACTTGTTGCAGCCCATTAGACTGGGAAATTCTTATTTTAGTTTGTGAAACACCGACCCCTGTTGTGCCCTCTCTATCCCACTAGCCCCCAACATTGTAGTCAACAGGAGCCCCTCATCACACACAGCTTTACATTCATGATGATACTTTCCACCTTCACTCTGCAAACACAATGTAATATGTGTACAAAAGGGAAACTTTCCCCCACAGAGCCAAGACAGGCCCCACAAAGGGCCATAGACCAAGGATAGGCCCCATGAAAGACTGCAGAGCAGTGAGGGACCCCACAGAGGGTGCAGAGCAAAAAAGAACCCAATGTAGGAGTTCTAGGGTCCAGATTGCCAAGTGGGACACCACAAAGGACCAGAAAGTAGAGAAGGACCCCTCAGACAACCAAGAAGGATCACAGAAAGGGCTGGAGCACCAATTGGGAAGGACCAGAAAGTAGAGAGGGACCTCTTGGAGAACCAGGAGGGATTCCAGAAAGGGTTGAGGTGGTTTATGATAAAATGTATTCTAAATAAACAGGGCGGTGTCCTCTCCCTTAAACAAAATATTGCAGTGCCTCCAGCCGTTAAAACACGGCAAATATTTAATAAACCAATAATGTGGACACCTTAATAATTGGATCGCCACTTAATAATATTCCTTGAGTTCTTTTCACCAATGTGATTTCATTACCATATACACAAAATTTGCCTTTTTGATAAATAAATTTATACATGTACAAATATTTATATATATATATATATATATATATATATATATATATATATATATATAAATACAAACGCAAAATACTGGTGATGAATATATTTGTACACACAATCAAAGATATAGTATGCTAATATCTATGGTATCATACAATATATGATCAAATACGGTAAAACAAAATTTTGAGGGGTTAGTTGCAACCTATAGCGCTTCAGATTTTATTTCCGATTACCCGCGGCCGTAGGGAAATAAGAAAGTATCTCTGACAAATACTACAAATCAGTATGCAGTGTATAACCTCAGTACCAATACTCAAAATGTTATAGTAATAATTATACAGATAACCGTAGTACATTCCTACCCACACAATAAAATGTTATAAATCTTAATACATTTTGAAATATAAAAGAAAATTACAATAATTTGGCACAGTCTCACCACTCCCAGAATCTCGATTGTGAGGCCTCCCAGTGGGATACAGTTTGGAAAAGAAAATGTTTCTGGTCAGTCAGGCACCAGAATTTAAATAAGCATCAGCGTCTCTGGCGAAAATCTTTTCCTTCAAAATGGCAGCTGGAAGTTCTCAGCAAAATGGCCGCAGGTAGCAAGTGAGTATAGCGCAGTATATAGTGGTAGTAGAGTAGTTAAGAAGTAGTTAGAAATGAAGTGATGAGTGATTAAGCGATGATTTCAGAAGAAGTAGTTCATAGAAGTAGTTTAGTGAAGTGAAGATTTTGAAGTTTTCTTCAATTTGAGGTGTTTGGCATTTTATACCATACAAGTTCTTTGTTCCGGAGGACTTCCCAACGGGCTTGTTGATTGGACGGTTGAGAAGTTTGCGTACCTATAGAAGTTCCTTACCTGTCCACCGGGATAGTTTAGGTATCACAAATGAACTGGTGATCTTAATGATATATACAGTATGTCTTTATAGATAATATATGGGTCCTATTCAAGTATAAATGATTTCCCCACTAACTCTCGAATCAGGACCATAGAAATATGTGAATATATTTGGTTTCTCATTTTTCTGATATATGAACTGTATTGGGATGGCTGATTTCCTTTGGAAATATAGAAATGACCCAACTCACAAACCATCTTATAACTTCCATCTTCAGTTGAGTGGGATGCAGTACCCAACTTTGTGGAATAGATTTTGGTGTGTGGGTATTACCTTTGATAATGTTTCAGTTTAGATATACCAAGCTCTTTTTTTTTTTGTAATCTTAACCATTAGCCGCCCAGCCTATAGCCGTTTGGCGGCATCAAAAGCGCTGTAGCTTTCCGGGTGCACGCCATTTGGCGTGCTCCCGCACATGCGCAGTTCGCGCAGTTGCAGAGCCGCGCGGCGGCGCGATCTGTCACTGGCCGTGTACCTCGGACACAGGCCGATGACAGATCTGAGTACCGGCTCCCGTTGCCAGTACCATGTGATCTGCTGTGACCAATCACAGCAGGTCACATGACAGTTGTATACAATGGATGGATTCATTCATGCCATCCATTGTATACTAGTGTCTAGCTGTGACTGGTCACAGCTAATCACATGCACATGTCATGTGATTAGCTGTGGCCAAATCACAGCTAAGCACAAAAAAAAAAAAAACCCTGAATGAATCGATGTCATTCAGGTAAATGCTTGCTTATAGCAAAGTAATTCTTTGCTATAAGCAAATTGTGTAAAAAAAAAAATATATATATACTGATCACTTCCCCAAAGTAGTACAATGTTACTATGGTAACATTGTACTACTTTGGTCACAGTAAAATATGAAAAATAAATCTTAAAAAAATAAAAGAAAAATTTAATAAAAAAAAAAATAATATATAAATATATATATATTTTTTTTTTCATACTGTCACCAGTCAGTGTCCCTGATCACCGCCATGCCAGTTATATGATGACGCTGTACTGCACTGGTGACAGTATGTAAAAAAAAAAATAGTGAAAATAATTTTTTTAATTTTTTCATTTTCCAAAAAATTATGACAAAAAAAATACAACTTCAAAAAACTTGCCATTCCTCTTATGAAGTACGTTGGACTGTCTACTCTGCAAAAAGGGGTCATTTGGGAGATATCTGTACTGTCCTGACATTCTTGACCTCAAGAAATTAGATTGGCTGTCATACTTCAGGATTGATCAATATTCAGATCTGATACCATTTTGTGAACTCTATAACTTTCCTACAAACTAAATACTACATCCTAATTTGGGTTACAAAAGGAATCAGAGGATCCGGCTCCTTAGAGCTTACAATCTAAGAGGGAGGGTCAAGTGATACAAAGGGTAATAGCTGTAGGGGATGAGCTGATGGAGAATGTAAAAAACACAGTGCATTAGCTAGAATCAGAATAGGCTTCTTTACCAGTTGCCGCCTGGCCTATAGCCAGATGGTGGCCAGGTGAACAGCTCGCTCCTCCGGGTGGACGCCATATGGCTGTCCTTCCAGGCAAGCGTATTGCGCCTGCCCGCAGTACCTCGGACACGGCCGATGACAGATCAGTGTACCAGGCCCCGTTGCCAGTACCATGTGACCTGCTGTGACCAATCACAGCAGATCACATGACAGTTGTATACAATGGATGGCTTCCTTTCATACCATCCATTGTATACAAGTGTGTCTAGCTGTGAATGGTCACAGCGATCACGTGAACAAGCTGGGCCAATCACAGCCCAGCTGTGTCATGTGATTAGCTATGACCAAATCACAGCTAAGCACAAAAAAAAAAAAAAAGCACCCTGAATGAATCGATGTCATTCAGGTAAATGCTTGCTTATAGCAAAGAAATTCTGTGCTATAAGCAAATTTTGAAAAAGAAGAAAATACTGATCACTTCCCAAAGTAGTACAATGTTACTATGGTAATAGTCATAGTGAAATATGAAAAAAATATATTAAAAAAAAAATATATATAAAAAATGTAATAAAAAATAAAAAAAAAAAAATTTTTTTTTTTTGTACGGTCACCAGTCAGTGTCCCTGATCACAGCCATGCCAGTTATATAATGAACGCTGTACTGCACTGGTGACAGTATGTAAAAAAAAAAAAAAAAAAAAATAGTGAAAATCATTTTTTAAATTTCTTCATTTCTAAAAAATGACAAAAAAAATGACAACTTCAAAAAAACTCTCTATGCCTGTTATGAAGTACGTCGGACTGTCTACTTTGCAAAAAGGGGTCATTTGGAGGATATCTGTACTGTTCTGACATTTGGGGGGATATCTGTACTGTCCTGACATTTGGGGGATATCTGTACTGTTCTGACGTTTGGGGGATATCTGTACTGTCCTGACATTTGGGGGATATCTGTACTGTCCTGACATTTGGGGGGATATCTGTACTGTCCTGACATTTGGGGGATATCTGTACTGTCCTGACATTTGGGGGATATCTGTACTATTCTGACTTTCTTGGACCTCAAGAAACTAGATTGGCTGTCAGTACTTCAGGATTGATCAATATTCAGATCTATACCATAGTTTGTGAACTCTATAACTTTCCTACAGACTAAATAATACATCCTAATTTGGGTTATTGTCACTAAAGACATGTAGCAGAATACATCTCGGCCTAAAATTTATGAAGAACAATTATTTATTTGTAAACTTTTATAACAGAAACAAAGAAAAACGTGTTTTTTTTTTCAAAATGTTTGGTCTTTTTTTGTTAATTTAGCAAAAAAAGGGAACCCCAGCGGTGATTAAATACCACCAAAAAAAGAAAGCTCTAGTTGTGTGAAGAAAATGATAAAATTTTAGTTTGGGTACAATGTTGTATGACCGCGCAATTGTCATTCAAAGTGTGAGAGCGCTGAAACCTGAAAAATGGCCTGGGCAGGAAGGGAAAATTGCCCGGTATGGAAATGGTTAAATGAACCAAGTTTCTTTATGCTGAGTTCAGAGTTCACGGAGACGTGACATAGGAAGCTTCATCCATTGTTGGGTAATTTAGGGAACACAGATTGGACTGGAGTTTAACCTCAGGATTCAATAGCTGATTGTGATAGCTCAGAGGTTGTGTTTGGTGATCACACACCTTCCAAGGTTTTGGGGAGAACTCCAGACAATAAGGTCTTAGTCCCAGGATTGTCAGTTATGGTATTGTGTTTGTTCATCTGCAGAAACTCAAATAGTTGTGTTTAATCCTGTTGTCTTTTAAGCAGATCTTTTCCACTCATTGTTTATTGTAGCTTCCTGGAAGGTCGCCTGAAATCAACTAAGGATGTTAACCATCACAGTCAGCTCAGAATTCCTTATGTGGGATAATATTTTTTTCTAATAAATAGTCCAAAAGTCATCACAAGGTGGAGAGTCGAGAGGGACCCCAGAGAGGGACAGATAATGAGCATTGTTGGGAAATTATGGCAGTTTGTGAAACGACCCATTAATTGTGATTTATTACAACGGTTACATTTTAGTCACCAGGAACACCACACACCACACATCACACACAGATACACTGTACATTCAGGATGACACTTTCCACCTGTATTCTGTAAAAAAAAAGGCAATGGGGGCAATAGGGCCAGCAAGCAAAGAGAGACCCCAGAGAGGGCCAGCGAGCGGAGAGGGATCCCAGGGAGGGCCAGAGAGCTGAGAAGGAACCCAGGGAGGGCCAAAGAGCAGGGAGGGACCTCAGGGAGGGTCAGAGAGCAGGGAGGGACCCCAGGGAGGGTCCAGAGAGCAGGGAGGGACCCCAGGGAGGACCAGAGAGCAGGGAGGGACCCCAGGGAGGACCAGAGAGCAGGGAGGGACCCCAGGGAGGACCAGAGAGCAGGGAGGGACCCCAGAGAGGACCAGAGAGCAGGGAGGGACCCCAGAGAGGACCAGAGAGCAGGGAGGGACCCCAGAGAGGACCAGAGAGCAGGGAGGGACCCCAGAGAGGACCAGAGAGCAGGGAGGGACCCCAGGGAGGACCAGAGAGCAGGGAGGGACCCCAGAGAGAGACCAGAGAGCATGGAGGGACCCCAGGGAGGACCAGAGAGCATGGAGGGACCCCAGGGAGGACCAGAGAGTGGAGAGGGATCAGATAATGCAACCGGCAGTTTATGAAAAACCAACACCTGCTGTGTCCCCTCATCCGGCTCACACCCAGCAGTTGTTATTTATTACAAATGTTACATTTTAGTCACCAGGAACACCACACATCACACACACACAGATACACTGTACATTCAGGATGACACTTTCCACCTACATTCTGTAAAAAAAAAGGTAATGGGGGCAATAGGGCCAGCAAGCAAAGAGAGACCCCATGGAGGGTCAGGAGAACAAAAAGGGACCCCAGGGGGGGGGGGGGGCAGTCAGCAGAGAGGGCCGCAGGGTGGGCCAGAGAGCGGAGAGGGACCTCAGGGAGGGTCAGAGAGCTGAGAAGGAACCCAGGGAGGGCCAGAGAGCAGGGAGGGCCAAAGAGCAGGGAGGGACTCCAGGGAGGGTCAGAGAGCAAGGAGGGACCCCAGGGAGGGTCAGAGAGCAAGGAGGGACCCCAGGGAGGGTCAGAGAGCAGGGAGGGACCCCAGGGAGGGTCAGAGAGCAGGGAGGGACCCCAGGGAGGACCAGAGAGAGGAGGGGGACCCCAGGGAGGACCAGAGAGCACGGAGGGACCCAGGGAGGACCAGA